GTGAGTGAGTGAGTGAGTGAGTGAGTGAGTGAGTGAGTGAGTGAGTGAGTGAGTGAGTGAGTGAGTGAGTGAGTGAGTGAGTGAGTGAGTGAGTGAGTGAGTGAGTGAGTGAGTGAGTGAGTGAGTGAGTGAGTGAGTGAGTGAGTGAGTGAGTGAGTGAGTGAGTGAGTGAGTGAGTGAGTGAGTGAGTGAGTGAGTGAGTGAGTGAGTGAGTGAGTGAGTGAGTGAGTGAGTGAGTGAGTGAGTGAGTGAGTGAGTGAGTGAGTGAGTGAGTGAGTGAGTGAGTGAGTGAGTGGATGGATGAGTTAGTGAGTGCATTTTGTCACTCACCTGATTCGCTAATCTTGACGCAATCTCACTCGCCCCATTCATCTGTGGAGTTGAAAAACCCGATCGATGATTGTCTGTCTCGAATGCCTCCATTCACCTGGGTTAATTCGGTACTGGTGTCCCGGGGGTGTCGCGATCACAGAGGAATTAAGTTGATCCTCGCTCTACCCACACCTCTTTTGTCTCATATTCTCAATCGTCTAACGAAGGCGTGTGAAGATGGAACCCGAGATCAACAAGCATTATTTCGGTCGGCAAGATTTTGTTTACACCACATCTTCATATTCCGTCAAGTGCTCGTATACGCACCCCACAGTCTAGGTGTTCCTTGACTTCTAGAGTGCTCTTTTCAACGGGCTTGCGCAAGAAGGTATACCCAAATAATCGTGAATATCAGACATAACATCCAAGACATTTTGAGCTCCTCGACCACGAATGTCAGCGAACTATGTCTGTAATCGTCTTAATTTAGCGAATTCGGAATGAACTCGTCAGAAAACGAGTCTTTGTTGAAGCAGACTACACTTCAGTGGGTCATGTGTCATGCACTGCTGCTGCTTTCCGCACCAAATTCAGAGTGGACAGAAGTTGACAGTGAATAGTGTTACGGAACATTTGCGTGCCTTTCGTGTTGTTTATGTTTCAGGACTGGATCCACGTGATCTTCCTCTGTTTGAATGGAAACAATGTACGTTATGGGGCTAACCGGTGTCAGTGGCCTTAATGGTGTCAGTTTCCATCCAGACTGCCTGACTAAGATTTGGAGGTGTGTGCATTCGAGATCAGCCATGCACAGCCCTCCTTGTCCCGTTTCTTTCGTTCTTATTCCAAGCAGGAGACCAATAGGGTGATTTGACATGGTTGTACTGCGGCACTGCTATCATCCTCTGGTGTAGTGATCAATAGTGATATCAGCGATTGTGGGAGACACAAATGACCTTCACATCCAGATGAGCGTTGCACGGTGGCGAGTAATTTCAAGCCGTCATTTTCCTTTATTCACAGTATCCACACGAAAGTGAATCTTTACTCATTGACTTTTACGAGCCGGAAGTAATTTCGTTGTCAGTAAAACAGCTAGTTTCCCATCGATTTTTCTGCATTCGCCATTGGCCAACCAAATCTCAGCTGTTTGACCGCGTCATGTGAACGGCGCTCGCATTTGTGACTCAAATCATGTGACTGATTCGTTTGATTATTGTGCGTCCGTGGGCGTTTCTGCCACATTAACTGATACGTTTTTTCTGAAAACAAAGTGCGCGCATCAGCCCAGTAGTAATTTCACTGTTTTCCTTTGAGTTGTTTCAGGTGTACGGCTGATCTGTCGATCTGAAACTAAACTGTTCAACAAGTTCCATCTTCAGAGTTCTTTGACATTGCATTTTTGAACGGAAAACTGAGTAAGTATTAAACAAACATACCGTGAATCGTCGGTGAACACTGTGTTCTCCATTTCTTGTCTCGGATTACGTAACAAAGCTCGTCATGGGTTCGGTTGTGCGAGCAATTTATTCTCCCAACGAAACAAATTTTTTATTTGTCATAAATTTCAGAGATGGATGTAAATGTATTGACCCCTCCCCCAACCTTGCAACACTCAGATTGGCGTTTACTTGTCCTAGACGGTCCCCAATGAACGAAGTTTAATTCAAGCCTTAGACCACAAAGATTTATTCAGCAAATCAATCCAAGTGTTTTTCCCGAATAGTTTTGTCAGTCGCTCAGCAGGCTAGCTGCCAACTCTTCCAACCGGATCCCATTAAGCGGATTACATCTGTCAGACACAGGGCAGACAATTGTGGATCAGGCAATCTGATGTCCTTCGACTGACTATATGATAGCCACTCAAACGGACTGCCAGAAGAGTAAAAAAAAGTAATCTGAGTTTTTTCTTATTCTGACAGAAAGTTTTGACAGCGTGCTTAATGAGGTGCTGAGCGTTTTCTACATTTACGTATGCTAATTCGTGCGAATAAAACTCCACGGGGATGTATTCACTTAATCCGAAAAACGTTTTTTGTTTATTCTAAAGGGCGATATGTGCAGGCAGCAAATGATCACCCATTAGGCCCGGCTGAAGAACAAAAAACAGGCAGAGTAGCGAGAAATACACTCATTTGAAGATCAATTTGGTTTTCACGAGAGACTCAACTGAATCCCCCTTTTATAATGAGCTGGACTGAACTTGAAGGTCTGTAGTATATGTCCTAATAGTAACTGAGTGCTTGAAGGTTCTGAGGACACACTCTGCTGTGTAGTGCTCCTGAAAAGTTCCACCTAACCTGTCTCACTCCGCACGCGTCTCTGCAACCCAAAATAATACCTGTGGTGTGTGGTCTCAAGACGACTCTCAAAGCACCTTTGACATTTGCAAATGAGTGTATTTTCGCTAATCTAATGCAATTCGGTTTCAAGTAGAACATAAGGTTGACGGAACCACGGGAACTGCGCTCAACTAATGGGCACAAAAAAGGGCGAAACCGGCCCCCTGGCTGTCGACGAATTTTCTGCAACAAATACAGTACAAATATACATGTATCGCAATATCTCGAATATCGTAGCGACTGAAACATGAAACTGCCTGGTGCAGCACACTCAATTGCCTGAGAACATCACAAACGGGAGATTTCGCTGGGTTCCAAGTGAGTCTCCCACAAAACCAGATGGGTGAGCAAATGAGTGTATTTCGCTAAGAAATTGGGGCGTTGTAATGTTTTCGACAGTACGGAAGACTCGCGAATGCACGAAGCGTAATCGCATTAGTGGACCTGCTAAGTAGTATACGTGTGTAAAATGAATTCACAGACAAAAAAGGACAACCTAAAATCATGTCTCACCCCCAGTTGGCAGCTCCATACGAATACAGCTCAGGGTTTGAAAGTACTCGCTTTAGACTCTTAGACAGATGTCACAATCCATTCGGCTCCGATTCTGTGTAGACAATGGTCCAAAGTCCACAAGTTTCGTCAAAACTGACAACCCTGTTGAGACAGTACGGTTGCCAACTGTCGGAAAGGTCAGATTCTTGGAATTACGCCCAGAATATTCAAAAAAAAACCACTGAGATCCTCAAAGCCATTAAAATTTCATTAGGGCCAGGAAACCAGCTGGCCCCGACGGGACTTTCTAGCAGTCAGTCAGTCAACAATGATGAGTGTTCACCCAACGCCGATCGGACAGTCTGGATTCAAGGTCAAGAGCGCACTTCAAGTACCGTGATGTCCCTTGTTCATAATACAGCTGTTGCTGTCCCAATTGGCGAGTCTTTTCCGCCACTGAGATTGTAGTTCACTGACAACCCTGTTGAGACAGTACGGTTGCCAACTGTCGGAAAGGTCAGATTCTTGGAATTACGCCCAGAATATTCAAAAAAAAACCACTGAGATCCTCAAAGCCATTAAAATTTCATTAGGGCCAGGAAACCAGCTGGCCCCGACGGGACTTTCTAGCAGTCAGTCAGTCAACAATGATGAGTGTTCACCCAACGCCGATCGGACAGTCTGGATTCAAGGTCAAGAGCGCACTTCAAGTACCGTGATGTCCCTTGTTCATAATACAGC